TCAGCCGGTGACCTGGGGACTGCAGTGTCCTACTGCCATTTGCAGGTTATCTTTGCATCTTGTGTGTTCTTGTAAGCGTAGTTCTCTCAGTGAGTTTTAACCAGTACTGTCTCTGAAGTTTATGCTATATATATTTTATCTAGCATCTTTCTGTGGAATGCACCTGTGTCAAATTTCTATTGAGACATCTGTTTCAGTTAAGCAATACATTCTTGCCCTGAGACAATAAAAATATCATTATTAGTAATGGTGTCCATTATGTGCTGGGCATTGTTATAAATAGTTTACATTTCTTTTTTCTTTTTTATTATTTATTTTTAAATTTAAATTTAAATTAGAAACAAGGTTGCTTCACAAGTCAGTTCCAGGTCCCTCTCCATTTCCCTCCCCTCCTCCCGTGCCCTCCCCCAACCCACCCCCCAATATCCCCTCATTTCCCCAGGGATGGTGAGGCCCTCCTTGGGGGTGTCCATAGTCTGTCATTTCATCCAGGGTAGGGCCTAGACCCTCCCCCAAGAGTTCAGGGTGAGAGTGCATCTCTCATTGTTGGATGGACACCCAAAGTCCATTTGTATACTTGGGATAAATACTCGGGAGGCTCAATAGATTACCTAGGCCTCCTCACTGACACACACATTCAGGGGGTCTTGAAGTTTACATATCTTATACACTTCACCATAGAATACCTCAATGATACAGTTATCATTTCCCACTTTATCATCTTCTTTGTGCCGTTCATATTTGAAAACCCCACTGTGTGGGTCTCTGAAATACTCTAGGAGCTGCCATGATCTCGTGGAACATGTGAGTCAATCCTAGATGTCTGTGTCCCAGAGTTGGAGGTGCATGAAGACCATTCATCCTTCACTCATTTGACAGCCTAAACACTGCATTCCTCTGTAGCCATCCTTTTTTTTTTTTTTTTTGTGAGACAGAGAAAAGGGGAACACTCCTCCATTGCTGGTGGGAGTGCCAACTGGTTCAGCCACTTTGGAAATCAGTATGGAGATTCTTCAGAAAAATGGGAATAAACCTACCACAAGACCCAGCAACTCCACTCTTAGGCATATATCCAAAAGATGCCCATTCATACAACAAGGATGTCTGGGGCATCCCACTTCTGGTACCAGATATCAATGATATTCGATGCTATATGGAAAACAATATATTTATTTATCAGAGAGAGAGAGAGAGAGAGAGAGAGAGAGAGTCGCACAAACCAGGAGTTAGAAGCGTGGCTGGCTTCCAGGAGAAAAGGGAGGTTCCTTTTCCTTTCACTTCCTTTTATATCTACCTGTGTCAGTTTACATGTCCCCGCCCTCATGGGCGGATAGCTTTGTGGGGTTCACTCCTACAAATGTCTGTTCCACTATGTTCATAGCAGCATTATTTGTAATAGCCAGAACTTGGAAGCAACCTAGATGCCCCTCAACCGAAGAGTGGATAGAGAAAATGTGGTACATTTACACAATGGAGTACTATTCAGCAGAAAAAACAATGGAATCCTGAGATTTTCAGGCAAATGGATGAGACTAGAAGAAACCATCCTGAGTGAGATAACACAGTCACAAAAAGAGAAACATGGAATTTAGACATAGATCTAGGGAGTGCCAGCCTATAATCCCATGGCCAGAGAGTCTGGGAAACAGAACTTTAATCCAGTGACTGATGGAAGAAGAGGCAGACTCCCATGGCTAAGCACTGAGCTGAACTCAAGAAAGCCAGTAACAGAGAGGGAGGACTGATGACCAAAGGGATTAAGACTGGGCTGGTTTAAACCCCAGAAACAGCTGATGCCTGGGAATCCAGCATGGGACTGATCAAGACCCCCTGAATGTGGGTGTCAGTGAGGAGGCCTAGGTAATCTATTGAGCCTTGGGCAGTAGATCAGTATTTATCCCTAGTATACACATAGACTTTGGACTCCCATCCAACAATGTGAGATGCACTCTCACCCTGAACTCTTGGGGGGAGGGTCTAGGCCCTGCCCTGGATGAAATGACAGACTATGGACACCCTAAAGGAGGGTCTAAGCCTCCTTGGGGAAATGAGGGGATATTGGGGGATTGGGGGGGAGGGCATGGGAGGAGGGGAGGGAAACGGAGAGGGACCTGGAACTGACTTGTGAAGCAACCTTGTTTCTAATTTAAATCTAAATTTAAAAATAAATAATAAAAAAAGAAAACGGAGATATGGGAGGACACAGTTCTAGGAGGGGGCATTCCCAAGGAGATAAAGGCAAATACTGGGGGTGACCTACTCATGGTAGACAAATATTAAGAGGTGAACCCTAACTTAGACTGTGAGTCAAGCAGGACATTAATGCCTTTAAGTTGAGGTTTATCCTGGGACATAGGGTAAAACCCCTGGGCTCTCAGATGCTAGGCCACAGGGACTGGTAACTGCATTTCTGCTGTTCTCATGGGGAAAACTGTGCCGAGGGTTGTGTCTCCACTGGCCACTTGGTGATAGTGCCTCTCTGTCTCACTGAGCAGGCGCAGTGTGAGCTCTGGACAGAAGGGCAGACTGATCATGACGGGAGACACTTGCTGGTAGAGCGAGCTCTGGATAGAAAGGAGTTCATGTAAGATATTTATCACTCTGAGTCTCAGCTTCTTGATTTATAAAGTTGGGGAGAAGAATACCTTTGGATTGTTGGAAGAATGAACAAGTCATGTACTTCCAGCAAATGGCCTGGAGATAGTGATAGCTGTGGGCCAGGCACTGTTCTCACATAAGTGAAACTGGGATATGCTCTTGCTTCCCCACTGGGAACACTGGCGAATATCTGGAGACATTTTTAATTGTCAGTATTTGGAGGAGTTTACAACCAGCATTGAGTGGGTAGAGGCCAATGCTATTGCTAAATGTTCCACAATGCACAGGCATGCCCTCTGCAATAAAGAATTATGTGACCCTTTGGTCTGTATTGGAGACTGTTTTATTAATATGCAAATGAAGAATATCTTAAAAAACCATATGATCTGGGACTGCCACTATTTACCTCTTTTAGGTCAGCAGATGCTAGAAATGAAATGACTTAGAAGTTAACTCATCGGAGTATGAACTTAAGAAAATCATGGGACTTGACCTCTGGCTGTTCTCTTCCAAAGTTCTAGTGTCTAACCCATGAGTTGGACTTCTGCGGGTGATGGTCAGTAGTCAATGTATGCGGCATATATTAAGACATTCCTATCTCCCTTGCCAGTGATTGGTAAAGTCCAGACATTGGCATGACTCAAAGAGCAAATTAGACATGCAGTTTCTAGGATCTGCTCCTTGTCATCCCGGTGCACTGTGATATGACCTAGGCTCTTACAAGCCCTTGAGACAGTATCTGCCTGTAGTTAGTGTGATGTCACACGTGCAGTCTTCCAGAGAGCTTCCCACATCTCGGATTTTCAGCATTACACACCACTGACTATGTTCGGGTGCTGCTTAAGGCATAGAATTCTGACACACGACCTTTGGAAGCTGGGCTCATTGCTCCCTGAGCCCTGTGTCTGTTGCTTTGTTTGTAGACTCTCACCTCCATAGCAAAAGGATGGGTGCACCTGGCTACCAGCCCAGTCACTTTGTGGGCCAATACTGGACTTGTGGTACTTTCCTTCAACCTTTCAGTTAAAATGTGTGTGATAGGATGCTAAGAGAATAACAAATGCTGTGAAACGCTTCACCCATTTGTTCCTGAGTTCACTAAGCACCACTCTGGGCTAGGCATTGTTCTGTTACCGTCACACAGAGAACATGACTCTCTCAGGTCCCCCTAGGACTCAGTGGTCTCCAGCTCCTTTACCATCACAGCCTACTCTCCTTGCCTGCCCGTGTGCTTCTTTGCTCTACTCCTTGTGTATAGCTCCAGTTGCCCGCTTACTGTCTCTGCAACTTTATTAGGCTTTATGAAAAGCTTTAGCTCGTGTTCATTCTCCAAAAGCCAGTCCCAATCTCGTTTCCTCAGTTAATGCCTCCATGAACTCCTTCTCTAGAATGACTCCTGTCCTGTCATCTTACAGGACCATTCTTTATGCACCTCTGGCTTACCATCACATATGAACCATTGCTATGCATGTCTGGTAGGAGAACATAAGTGACAGTCTCTTTATGCACGAGCTGCCTTCCCTGGATGAGTACAGCTGCCACCCCTCATCAGAGAAGCTTCTCTTTAAAGAAAATGGACACAGTGCAGAGAACTACAGGGGAGCCCAACCTTGTTATTTGGGGTTTTTGCTCTTTTTTTTTTTGTTTGTTTGTTTTAAAGACAGGGTCTCTCTGTGCAGCCTTGTCTTTCCTGGAACTTGTTCTATAGATCAGGCTGGTGCTTCTAGAGTCGATGCTTCTAGAGTGCAGGGATTATAGGCGTGTGACACCACCACCCGGCAGCCTAATGTTAATGGATACATCTACATCACAGCTCCTGCATTTATGGTTTTGGAAGAGGGGCCAGAAAGATTGTAAGAGCCAGAATACCAGGAAGTCTTCCATGAAACAGTATCTTCTAAAAATGAGTGTGGAAGGGAGGAAATCTCATGGATTCCTACCACTAGGCAAAGTACTAGAGGCAACCAATGACTGCTGGAAGAGAAGGAATTAGCCTCTCCCAGAGATGAGGCCTTTATTGGTTGTTCAATGTAGAGTGATTAGCTCTGAGACCATATACACACAAATAACAAAAACCGACTCAGCAGATTGTATTTATATATATTTGTGTAAACACATAATACACACATGTATGTATGGAATAGTAATGACAAAAGAAAAAGATGCTATCAACTTGGGGGGTCATGGAAAGTGCTGGAGAGAGGGTACTTGGAAGGGCCTGGAGGGAATAAAGGGGGGAGGAAAGTGATGTAATTCTATTTCAATTTTTAGAGTTAATTAAAAGAGTGTAGTTACTCTGAGAGGCACGGTAGACCCAGACAGGAAGCAGGCATTCCTCTGCCAGCTGTAGCTTTCAGTTCCTGTGCTAGGTCTCAGAGCCCAGACCCAGGCTTTATGCCTGGCTTACCCACTTGGACCAACTGTGGCTTCTCAGAATAGCCAGAACCCACAGAGGCCCTAGTTACTCTCTGTTTGGCAATAGTTCCAAGAATTTCTGAGTTTGTCCTCCACTGATTCTTCCCAGAGTCCTGTCTGCTGGAGAGAAGAAGGAATGGTGGCCAAGCAAGGGCTTATCGAGTGCCTCCTGCATGCTCAAACTCCTTGTGAGTGCCTCCTGCGTGCTCAAACTCCTTGTGAGTGCCTCCTGCGTGCTCAAACTCCTTGCTGAGTGCTCTCCTTGCATCTTACCTAGCCCTCCATACTCACACATGGTATGAACTGTTGCAGTAGCTCTATTTGTCTAAATTCTGTGGTCAGGGAAGCCCAGGCCTGCCTTTTTTCTATGACTCTTAACTCTGGATTCTTCTCTGCAAGGGTTGGTTACAAAGACGAGACGGGTGGGCTGTGGGGATGATTCCTTAAGTGCAATGCTTGCCGTGCAACTGTGAGAATTGGAATTACAATCCCAGAGCCCACGTAAAGCTGGCTGTGGCAGGATGCACCTATCATTCTCTTGCTCCTATGCTGATATCAGAGGCAGGAGAATTCCCAGAAGCGCATGATCCAGCTATACTGCTATCCACAGCAGTGACCAAGGAAGAGACACTGCCTTAAACAAGATAAAAGCTGAGGCGGTTCTCTGACCCTCACACATGCACCAAGACATGTGTGTGTTCACATGCACACACAAACACACTTAAGTCTGAAGGACAATGAGGTCTTTCCGATTTTCAAATGACCCCTGGAATTGATGCTTGCCATATGAAAAATTTTCCATTACATTGAGGATGGTTTTAGGAGTGGCATGGTTCCAGCTGGAAAGGTATTTAGTAATATTCAGATTTTAAAGATTTAAAATGGTGATTCTTTGGTCCCAATTGTATTCAGTCTTGAAAGGCCGGCGTACAGCTACTGATCAGAGGGAATGTGGAAGACACACATGGGACAGCATTTTCTAGGAATACTTCCTGAGAAATTTCACAGTGGCAATAAATAATCCTGCCAGCTGTATTTCAAGGAGGATAATGAAATCTTGTCTTCTGGGGACATGATCTCTCCCTTGTGTTTGTCATTTTCACAGACTCAAGTGACCCAAAAGTTCTGATGTTGAGAATATTTGCCATTTCAACCCCTAGGTGGATCATGAGTGGTGCAGACCAGCCTCTTACAGGAAACGGTCATGTGACCTAGAGAGATAGACTGTGTTCACCGCCAGAAGCCCAGGCTACCATGGTATTTACTGTGTCTGTTTGAAGAGTCAACCTGGTGGGGGATAGCAGCAACACAGTTTTAAAATCTGCCTTCTTCTCCTTTCATAGAAATCGAGACTTTGAGACACATGAACTGAAATGAAGTGAGTCAACGCTTTGGTCACAAGAAGAAACACAAGAAGCAGCCCAAATCCCTTGATGATTCCTGAAATTGTAGCTTTTCTTTGGAGGCTGTTGTAATTTTCATGTCTGTTCTTATTAAAAATAATAAGAGACACATCGGTAATGCAACTTTGCTAAAGGTGGATGAATCCCCGAGGGAGAAAATGAATGCTTCAGCGAAGCCTAAAGAACATTATTTCCTGTGTCTAAGTCCTCCCAGCCTCTTGCAGTGCAAGGCCTGAAGGGTGCCTCCTCGTTTATTCTTTGTTAGTAACATGAAATATCAAACCACTTCTATTCCTTTTCATCTTTTCATTTTAACACTGAATAAGGTCCCTCAGACTTTCACAGGTAAGATCTTCAGAATTATGGTGGGAAAATGTAATTTTGGTTACATTTACTTTAGAATTTGCTAATGTAAAAATGAACTTTAAAAAAATATACCAGACTTTATGACAAATTGAGTTATTCTTCAATTCCTCAGAAGATTTATGAAACAGAGGAAGACTATCCTTCCTGGGTCCAGTGTTCAATCGCAGTCCCTTTTCATCTTGTTTGTTGTTTAGTTCAAAGATAATGTTGGGGATTATATGACATAAGTTCTGCTCCAATGAAGAACTAATTGTAATTAAATTATTTATGTAGAAGACATCTAGTGATAGACCTGCCAGACAGAGACTTAACTCTTCTAAGCCAAGGAATGAGAGTAGAATAGCGGGGGTTTAGTATGTCACCTCTGGATGTCAGTGAGAACCAGGGTACATATATCTTCCTCTTTCACAGCTTCCACTGTCAAGAATGCCACATTGTCCAAGATGGCCACTAGAGCTCTGTTTGTGTCTGAGACAGGATTCCAGACTACTGGAAAAGTCCCATTACTAACTTCTTTCATCTTACTGTCCATTTCTATTTGATACAAGATGTAATATAATTTGTATAACACAGTGTAACAATTCTTTTAAATTTGGCCTATTGCTCAAAACTTTTTTGGTTGGTAATAAAGAAAGACAAGATTGACCACAACAGTCTCTATCAGAAGATGTGTGCTTTAGACTGGCTAACCTAGAATCTGATGAAGGAACAAAGTAGCCTTTAACCCCAAACATATCTTTTAGTGTGTGCATGCCTGCTTGCATATGTGCATGCGTGCGTGCGTGCATGAGTGCGTGCCTGCCTGTGTGTGTGTGTGTGTGTGTGTATGTGTGTGTGAATGCATGTATGTGTACCGGAGTCTGCAGAGGTCAGAAGAGGGCATCAGATCTTCCGGAACTGGAGTTAGATGTCATGAATCACCATGTGAGTGCTGAAAACTGAGCTCAGATCCTCTGCAAGAGCAGCAAGCGCTCAACTGTTGAGCCATTTCTCCAGCCCTCCCCCCACCTTTCTTCCAACGAAGACCACTTCCTTCTCAGCCTGAGGTTTTGGGGACACTGATATTAGGGGTTCCTGGAGCCTTTTGCTGCCCAAGTTGGCAGCAGTCTGCAGCACTTCCAAAAGTGGCCACATCACCTTTCCAACTGCAGCAGGCCTAGGAAGGATCACGTGGTGATGAGGTCTCTGGTTTATATTTCCAAAGTAGGGCAATTGGATTCAATACAATGAAGCAGTAAGACAGCCTGTTTCCAGAACCATCCATCAATGGTTAGTTACTCTGTGCCCAATCACAGGGTCAGGTGCTGGAGGAAACAACTTTAAAAACCGGCCTAGGGCAAGAGAGAAGCTCAGAGGTCAAGAGTGTTTCCTGTAGTTCTAGCTCCAGGGAAACTGATACCCTTTTCTGGCCTCTGTGGACACTGGTGCTGTGCACACGCGCGCGCACACACAAACGCATGCACGCACACACATGGGATGGGGGGGGAGAACACAAAATGAATATTTGCTGGGTCAAAAGGAATCTCTGCCCTGTAATGGCCTCTGCAGTTTCTGCTTATGAAGTCTGCTCCTCCCTGCCTCCAAAAGCATTTGTATTTCATCATGTGCTGCTACCTCTAAAGAACACTGGTGTCTTAGAAAAATAAATATATAGCCAATTTTCAGATTACATCTTCTGTAGTTCTCTTATAAATTATGTGACTCCATGCTGGCAAAGTCTGGTCAAAGCTGGCTTGCCATCCTCTGCCTTAACTCAGAAAACGAATGGCATTCACTGAAGTTTGTGTCTGCAGATGAATTTGCCACCTGAAGGGGACAGCTAATTCACAAGGGAAAAAAACAAAATCCCAAATTTTCAACTAGTTCCAGGCACCAGAGCCACAGTGAGGCATGGAAGATTTAATTTGTATTTATTTATTTTCTTGTCACTAAAACTGGGGCAGACCTTCACTTATGGTATTTATAAGATTTATGACCCTGGAGGAAACCATTATGGTTACCTTCATTGCATTAAGTTTCCAAACTTTTACTTAGCATATTCCTTATGGTTTGGAAATAGCATAATGAACCGCATTCTGCCAGTAGATGATTGAAGAGGCTGTGGGAAAACATAACCGGCATCCAGAAGCCTGGGTTCTCGGCCAAGGATGACCCTTATGTGCAGGCCTGGCTCACACTGGCCTTCTGAGCCGCTGGTTCTCAGATTCTCCCCTGTAATCAAGGGTCTGGCTTCTGTGACACGCAGCATTGGGCACCATGTCCCAGCTCCTCAAACATCTGTTAGACACAGTTGCCTGGGTCTTTGGAACTGTTCACTGGAGCTGAGTCAGTCTCAGGTCAAATCCTTTCAATGCTGTCTTTCCAGATCCTTCTGGATCTCCCACTCCTGTTGCTATGACCTGGTCAGTATTACCTCTCTTCTTCCTGCATATGTTGCTGAAAGTAGATTGACTTTAACCATTTCAGGGCATCTACTTGATTTTATTTTGACAACCTCTAAAAATATCCAGGATCTTCTTTGGTGTAGGTGAAGGAAGAGTTGAGTGTGGAAGTTTCCTGATTTCCACCATCAAATTCGAGTGTTTGGGGAGTAGACTCAAGACGTGAGCATTGCCAGGGGCCCTTGTCTTTCCTTGGACCCTGCTGTACCCCTCTTCTGCTCCTGTTAATTATGAGTTTGGTAATGAAGCCAGGCAGGCTTTCCCGCTGCTTCCCCAAGCCGATTCACTAAGAAGTTGATTTTGCCAGTTAGGAAACTGAATTTGGGATTTTTCATTTGTATTTATTCATTGGGTATAAATTATCTGCTAGGAGCCGTGAAAGGAATAAAGTTACCAGTACAAATTGTATTTATTTAAACAATTTTATTACTATTACATACAAGATAATCCATTATTTTATATATATAAAAGAGTTCTATTATGGCATTTTCATGTATATATATCACTATACTTGGTTCTGATTTGTCCCCTTTTCTCCTGTTCTCCTCTGTGAGCCTACTGCCTGCTTCTGGCTGGTTCCCTTTTATCCTCCACACCCCAACCCATCTTCTGCTTTCATGTCATATGCATTTAATCATCCGGTCCCTTAGGATCCCTTCCTCTCTTCTCATGAAATTCCCCTCTCCTCCTCCTCCTCCTTCTCTCTCTCTCTCTCTCTCTCTCTCTCTCTCTCTCTCTCTCTCTCTCTCTCTCTCTCACACACACACACACTTCCACTCACATACACCCCAGACACCCTCCATGTATATAATTTTTAAGTCTAGCTTGTGCATATTAAAGAAAATATGTAGACTTCGTCTTTCTGAATCTGGCTTATTTTGCTTAACATAATCATTTCCAGATCCATTCATTTCCTTGCAAATGTCATAATTTAATTTTTTAATGACTTAATATGTCTGTGGTATGTTGATTTAGAGTCCTTTGAATATATGTACCAAAGACCAGAGTGGAGTAGCTTCAACACACATTATTACAGCTGGGGCAGAAGGGGCCTTCCAAATTGCAGCCGGTGATGCCAAACTAATTTCTTTAAGGTTGGATCAATAAAGTATAATTCCACCTGAGTGATTTGAGTTGGGTGGAAATACCCCAATCTTCTTTTTATTGTCAGTTTATTTACTTAATTTTTACATTGAAACCTTAATATAAATCGCATAAAACATCAAACTTACCATTTTAAAGCATGCACTTGGATAGTTTTCAGTTTATCTGCCTGTTATATCCGAAGCAGCACCCTAAGATGGTGGTGCTGGTGAGAACATCCTAAACAGAAGGACTTTGCCCAGTAAACAGAGGGCTTATTATTGGGTAAACAGAGCTCTGGAGGTGGGTTTCTGTTTATCTGGAGCCTCCCTTAAACCACCAGGGACCTTCCTTAATCAGGCCAAAGGTCAACGACCTCTGGTCCTGACCAGTCTGTTATCAGCTCAAAGATCCCACCCTGTAGACTGTCACATATGAAATCCTATTGCTTTTTTCACCATTTGCTCTTCTCTCTGTCTCCCCACCCCCCAAGATAAATTGCCTTGATGATTTGATCCCTACAAGACCTTTCTACTCACGGAGTGGTCTAGTTGGGTGGTTTTACTGCACCTTCACTTACATTAAGTTAGTTTCATAACCATCACTAATTACAGAACACTTTGACCATTCAGAAAGAATCTATGTAGCCAATAAATTGGTTCCAGCCAACTCTAATCTACTTGCTTCTCCTGCAAATTTGCCTGTCCTGGGTACTTCGTATAATGACTTGGTGTTTTTCGTATTTCACTCTTTTCATGCCTGAATATCCCATCACATGGACAATATCATTTTGTTTGTCTTTTCATCAGTTGGTAGACATCTGGGTTGTTCTCATCTTTTGTCTATTATGAACAATGTTGCTGTGAAGACTTGTGTACAAGTTTTTGTTTGCACATATATTTTCAATTCTCAGTTACGTACCTAGGAGCACAGTGGATGGTTCTGTATTTTAGTTTTTGAGTTGCCAAACTATTTTTCCAAAGTACTTTACTATTTTATATTTTCACAAAACTATCTGTGACCTCAGAAGATATTTCAACCTCTCTAAGGCTTAGGTTAGTAGCCTTCCCAGCTTTTAAAAAAAATAATAAACTGATAAATAAGAAATGCTGTTCTGGGGCAGATCAGGGCTGAGTCCTAAGTTTATTCATTGATTCAGTCTCCCACAGGCACAGACATGAAAGGCACGCATCTTTTTTGAGGCACAGCATCTCTGGTCTGTGAGACTTCCTTTGGAATGGCAAGGCATGCTACCTGGGTGACTTGGCAAAGGTGGAGGCTGCCCAGAATGGAAGGATGGACAAAACCAAAATCCTCTCAGTGCTGGCTGAATCTTGGATGCCGATCCTTGATCTAGAATCAATTTCTTGTTCTCCATAACAAACTGTTGACTCAGATTCTATTTTCTTAATGGGGAAAATGTGTTAAGCCTCAGCATTTCCTGTCTCTGAAACAAACAATTTTCTACAAAACCATCTAATCCCAGGAGTCTGGAGTTGAGTTTATAACTTAAACGGGGAGAGAAAAGCATCCTAGGAGTTTGTGTCATTCTCGGTCTGTCCTGGAGCCATCGTGTCTATGTGGCTTTGTCTCGGTGACCACAGTCCTTCGAGGTGGGCCAGGCAAGCTCACGCTATCTCCACATCATGCATGAGAACCATGAGAACAGGACCTCTGAGACATGGGCCCGTCTGCTCCAGGTCACACGAATGAGCCAGGAGGGATTTCACTCAAGCCAGTCATTCCCCAGTGCTGTTCGTTTGATGGGTGCCAGTGTGGGACAATTGTTACTCATGTTCTCATGGCCTTTGACTCCAGTTTCTGCCCTGAATCCATGTGCTTTTGATAACTAAGCAGCAAAGTGGATCAGAATACTCAACATCTAAAAAGTTTTAATTCAAGGGTGATTTTGAAAATAGGACAAAAAAGAAACCAACAGTCATGACTCTGTCAGCTTGATTTCGATTTCATTTTTGTGCATTGGGTTTTAGTATTTTCTTTCATACACAGATTCTTTTTGCAATGTCACTCATAGCATGCATGCTATTTCTATTTTGTAGGCCCAGAGATGCCTCTATGTTCTTATGATTGTTTGTAGTGGCTTACTACAGAGAAAG